GGGTATTACTAGTCAACAATTGAAACTAATTGTATCGATTATGCCAAAAAATATCAAAAGCCAGATTTATAGAGACAAGCTCCATACCCCTCCTCATCCATGCACATAATGATAGCTCCATGGCCTTTCTCTATCTGGGGCATGGATTTCATTGGACAAATTTTGCTCGAAGCTTCTAATGGTCATTGTTTCATCTTGGTGGCAATAGAATACTTCACCAAGTGGGTCGGAGCTGCCTATGCAAATGTCACTAGTTAACATTTTATAAGTTCTTAAAGAAAGAGATTATATGACGATATGGGTTACTCGAGAGAATCATCACTGACAATGCCTTGAATTTAAACAATAAGATAATGGAATATGTATGTAAACAGTTCTAGATAAAACATCATAATTCCACCAATTATTTCCCAAAGATGAATGGGGCAGTAGAGGTACCAATAAGAACATCAAGAGGCTCATAGAGAAAATGACTAAGACATGTAAAGACTGGAATGAGATGTTTCTATTTGCTGTTTTCCTATTGAACTTCAGTAAAGACGTCAACTAGGGTAACTCCATTTTCTTTAGCCTATGGGATGGAGGCTGTGTTACCCATCGAGGTTGAAATTTGTCACTTCGGGTATTATCAGAGGTTAAGCTAGATGAAGTAGAATGGGTACAAGCTAGGTATGACCAGCTAAATATGATTGAGGAGAAAATATTAAAAGTTATTTGTCATGGGAAAATGTACCATAATCGTATGATGAGGGCACATAACAAGAAGGTTCACCCATGAGAGTTTTAGGAAGGAGATCTGGTACTTAGAAAGATTATGTCAATTCAAAAAGAATTTAAGGTAAATGGATGCCAAATAAGGAGAGACCCTATGTTGTAAACAAGGCCTTTTCCGAAGGAGCTTTGATCCTCACCGAGATGGATAGACCAGAGTTACCTAACCCTGTGAATTCTGAGGCTGCGAAGAAGTACTTCGCTTGAAGAAAGAAAAATGAAAAATAAAGAAAAAAAGTAAAAGAAAAGAAAAAAAAATGAAAAATGAAAAATGAAAAAAAAAGAAACAAAGAAAAAAAGAATAAATAAAATGGGGTTTAAGATGAAAACCCGAACAGGGCGTCTTGAAACCAAAGGAGGTCTCAAGTTGAAAACTCGCAAAGGGAAGCTTGAGAATTATTCAAATTTAGAATTCGATCACGGTAGAGGTTCTGAATTAGTTTTGAAGACTTGAACAGTGACATCAAAAGATGGTCACGGTTAGGAATGAAAATCGAAAAGGCTTGGATAACCAGAAAAGAAATAAAGACGCATGAGATTCAAAACTGGTTTACGACATCCAATATTCGGAGAATTTGGTAGTACAGGGGGAACTTCACACCCTTGCGCATTATCACAATCCTTAAGATCCCTTTGACAGAACCTACACTCAAGTCATTCTACAGCGTTCCAGTTCAAAAGCATTTGTACTATTGATATCTAAGGACGCCTACTTTATTTTCTTTTGATTTTGCAGTTAAAAGTTTGCCATGTATTTACCCAAAAACTCTTCATTTATATAAATAAAAAGATGTCATTTTCTTGTTAAAACCATGTTGCAAGCATCCTAATTTGAAAATAAAAACATGTAGATTAACTTTGGAAACATGAGATCATTGCGTATTATTGTGCAAAAGGTTTTGGAAAAGTGCAGGTATTTCAAGATGAAAATGGATTTAGAATGAGGCTTACATGATGATGGGCTATAGAAAGTTAAAGCCTTAGGCTACAAGTAAAATCCCAGCAAGGTGGGATAATCCAAGAGGTTTGTCATTGATCAAGTAGCTGGTCGTGAGTAGTGTCTGGGTTCAAGAGTAAAGAAAATCAGAGTTACGTTCAACCAAAGAGTGTATGACCAGAGTTGCCATTCAGGGTGAACTGCTATTGATTTTTTGTGCCCAATATTCGATTGAATTACAGGCTGTCGACAAAAAGAGAATTCTCATTTGAAAATAAAATACCCTAAAAACTACACCATTGCACACATTTTAGGCATAAATAGGATCATGACATAAAATGCATGATAATGATAAATGCAATTAAGTAGTTACAGGTTCTCCAAAAGGAAAGATAGAGATGTAAAGACCCAACATAAAAGTTACCGATTCAGATTTCCATGATTAGTGGTGGCAAGACAAGCTTCCACAAGAGAAATCACTTTCCAAAGATTATCTCCTAATACTTTCACCTATGATTTTTTGAATTCTCAAACACATACTAACAAGGTTTAATGTTTAATTTCCAGATTTAATATTCTTGAAGACAAGAAAAGCGAGTCGAACTCAATTCAATCTTTCTTGAAGAACACTGGAATGAATCAACGTTTCCATATCTGGTTTTCCCTCAAGAAGTAGTTGAACACATACCCCTCCCTTTCAAGACTTGATCTTCCCTGAGTAACAGTGGAACAATTCTACCTCATTCAATCTTCCCTGAATAACAGTGGAATGAATCAACGTCACCAGATCTGATTTTACCTCAAGAAAAAGATAAACATATCCCTATTTTTCAAGATTTGATCTTCTCTGAGTAACAGTGGAACAAGTCTGCCTCGATTCAATATTCCCTGAAGAATAGTGGAATGAACCAGCATCCCCATATCTGATTTTCACTCAAGAAGAAGCAGAACAAATCCATCTCTTTCAAGATTTGATCTTTCCTGAGTAACAGTGGAACAAGTCTGCCTCGATTCAATCTTCCCTAAAGAACAATGTAATGAATCAACATTTCCAAATTTGATTCTTCCTCAAGAAGAAGTGGAACAGATCCCTCTCTTTCTAGATTTGATCTTCCATGAGTAACAGTGGAATAAGTCTGCCTCAATTCAATCTTCCCTGAAGAACAGTGGTATTAGTTATCGTTTCTTGATATGATCTACACTAAAAAAACAGTGGAGAAGATCCCTCATCATATTTCAAAGCATGGAGTCGACCGGACGAAAACTCATTGTCTCTTCATCTTTATCCTATTCTTGTTGACACAAGAATGGGCAAAGAGGGGAAACTGTCGATACTCGTTTTTGTCCTGTATTATTATTATTACTACTACTATTATATTCAGTCAAAGACTTACACAAAGATAATTTGTGTGCTTTACCTTGCATGCAGGCAGTACAAACATGAGTCAACTTCGGTTTTATTAGAATAAATATTACAAGACTTCATAACCGAAAGTACAGCATCCAAAAAAGGATGACCTAGTCTCTTATGTCACAGTTCCAAAGTATCATGTAAACCAGAAACATTATGAACTTGAAACCATGCCTCCTGTTTGTCACATGACTCCTGGCCATCAAATGGAAGTATTTGATAAAGCCCCTCATTCGTTAGCTTCCCATGAAGAAGAAGAGTTATGGTCTGAGCATCCTTCACAAAACACTCAGAAGCATGAAATTCAAGAAAAAAAACATAATTATCACGCGTGAATTGTGAAACAGACAATAATTTCTTTTTAATATTAGGAACGTGTAACATATTTTGAAAAATCAAGGGTTTCCGACATGTAGATAAGAATCCTTGACCAACATGATCGATTTTAACACCCTCACAGTTACCCATGAGTAAAGCATTGGCACCTGTGTAAATTGTACCTATTCAAACACAGACAAGTCATTTGAGACATGATGTGTAGCACCCGTATCAGGATACCAAACAGTCTCATGAGGCATCAACCAGCAAGATGAACTAGAGGAAACATCTAAGTTTAAAACTATCGGGCCTGAGGAAGCAAATGATTAATGCCCAGAAGAACCAGGAACTGAGTTATTCGACAAATCCCTGGAGTAAACACCATTTGCAAATACGAGAAACTGATAATAACCTGAAGCATGGGGAACAAAGTCATTCCTGGTAAACCAGAACCATTCGAGTAAAAAATCGGTGGTTTGAATAAGGAACAAACGGGTGGGGAACATACGAGAAAGGATGAACTGTATGAGAAAACACTTGTCCTAGATTGTTGTTTAACAGGGTTCAGTCGATCAAATTGTTTCTTTGAATCACCAGTTAGATCCTCACCTCTAGTCACACCAAGTAAAGTCACGATCAAAACGATGATAACACCTTTGTACCACATGGCTAAACTTACCACACAATTAGCATTGAGGCCTGTTTGAACTCCGTCCTGACCTCGACCACGATAACCACCACCTTGTTGATCTCGAGTCTAAACCGAATGCAGTTGTGATGCATTATTTTCTTTAACATCCAATACAACATTATTTACTTCCTTGGATAAGCAAGCCAAGTTAACCGAACGCCTTCATTTAAAAAGATTTTCTGCCGAGCCTCACAGTCCAACAACATATCAGTTAGAACTTCCAAAGACAGGTTCTCATGAGACGCAATGGCAATGATTGACTCAAACTCCATCGATAGACTAGCAAGAACAACGTTCACATGCTCCTTCTTAGTGACAACACTACCTAATGCATTAAGTAAATCACAAGTAGATTTAATCTTTGCATCACTAATAGTCATACCATACTTCCTTTGAGAATGTAAACTATGCCTGAGAGATGAAATCTTGGCAGCAGATCGAGCACCAAACAACCGAGAGACAGCAGACCAAATGGAAGAAGTCGTGTCACTCATTTGGGTTGACATCGTATGCAATGAAGCGATGAAGAAATAAAGTGTCACTCATCGTTTATCTTAAAAGCTTTCATTGCTGAGAGCTTCTGGATTAGAAACTTTATTTCTCCCGATGCCGATAATTATCATCCTGCCAATTAGTCTCTCACATTCCGAAATTACATAGCTTTACAGACTGTGGCTTCTGTCACTAATAGTGATGAAGATTACAGCAAAGCCTTGGGGGAGCCTCTATTTTGTCTGATACGTGAAGCTCTTTACTCCAGTAACAAAACAGGCAAAGTGACTGAAGCTCAAGAGCTCAAAACTGAACCTAATATTTTGTCGAATGAGAATGTAATTGAAGGCATACAAGACAACACACATGATGCGGAACCGATGGTTCACGCTAATGACCCTTCTGGTGGATATCCACCGAAGAAGGCACAAGACAGAGAGAGAAAAGCTTTTGGCGAAATTGAGGAAGAAGAAAGTGAAGAGACTACATGCCTGGATGAGGGCATTACAGCTGCAAATCAACTTTCAAACAATAAATTTGCGGATTCAAATGGCGTAAATGCTAAACAAAAGAGTCCTATTCGCCCATAGGTGGAAGAAGCTCTAGGAACATTGGAGAAGGCCATTTCAATAGTACAGAGATATGGATTTAATGCCCAAAGGAGATCATCTAGTTTCTCTGATACAGAAACTCCAAGTTTCGAAGAGGGTTTTGTCAAAGACCCAACTTGTGCTGTGGAATGTTCCTTTAAAAAGCTGAGGGTGCTGTCAAAAAGTTCGCAGAGAACCTCGAGATGACTTTGGATGACTCCAAGAATAGCAATGACATTAATGACACAAGGTAATAACATAAGATATTTACACATGTATCCTTTCACCTTCCCCATCATTCAACAGTTTTCATGTCAATCCAAATTACACCTGCAAATGATGGGTTTTACGGTCTACGAATGTACTTGCAGGTCAGCAAGATTGAATTCTTTGTCAAAGGAAGTAAACCATAACAAAGTAGTACCTACATCACCTCAGCAAAATGTAATACCAGCAGAGACTAACCAGGTTGGTTTGAATCATCATGAAAATGGAACCAACAAAACAAATAGGTTACATGAAAAGGGTGTAAATGATGTTGAGAAGCTGAGTAAATGGAGGAAGCATAGGTTCTGTTGCTTTGGCTTGTATTCAGGGTAGATTGATGATGCCTCAACCCAGGAAGAAGAAGACCTCTTCTGGATGAAAGCAAGGCGCTTCATTTTCAACCTTGAGCATCATTAAACACTTCTTGAGTAGATTTTGTAACATCTTATACAAAAAACTCCTATTTTTCTGTAACGTCAATTAATAATAATTCTATAGAATATGTTGTAACTTGTAGCCTTAAATAAGTTTAAACAATAAATTTCCTTATGGCAGTGATGGCACATTTCTGCATATTTCTGTGCTTGATTTTGGTTTAATAAAAATCAATTTATCCCCCTATGATTTGGAGAAAGGTTAACTTTTATGTGATATGTATAAATTATGGATTTAGTTCTTGAATTTAATTTAGTCATTTTATTTTTGTATTTTTTAGATTTTGAAATTTTTGTTTTGATCTAAACAATAAGATGTGAAATCTGTTAAATTAAATTTTATCATTAGTCTTTATATTCGACTTTAATTTTAGAATTTAGTTCATGTTCTTCAATTTGATAATTTGAAGTCATGTAATTTATCTATATTGCTTCTATATATGTTATTTGAGTAAGAATTGAAATTTTAATATTTGAAAATTATAAAGATTAAATTTGACTAAATTACAGTATATGGACTAAATCTACAACATATGTGTTGTGCATGCATGTATTAACCATGGAATTTGACCTTCGGAAAATGTCCAATTACCTCCAAAATTTTATTTATTAATTGAATTTTAAATAAAAATGAATTCACCCTTTATTATGAGTTGTGTACAATGCTTTCTCATATCTATTATATTTTTATGTAGGGTTTTGAAACTTTAGTTGCAGAATGCATTTTAATGTTCGAAAAAAGGTCTTGTCGACCGCTAAACGTTACACGGACAGATGTCATAGTCCCCTTTCGAAAGGGATATAGATTGTTCTTAGCAGAAGCCATGCATGTTTGCTAATCGAAAATATATATTTCGTAGAATACATGCTTTGGGGTTGAGTATAGAACAGAAGGAAGGGATTCTAAATGTTAAAAAAATAGTTAGTCTTTCCATTTAGCTATCAATTTACTTAGTAAGCTATGCTGGGCTTCCTCAATAACGTTTGGTTCAACATAGTTGCATTGTATTTATTTTAAAGCTACATGAGATCAATAAGATCCAGAAAATGAGAGCCCAAGCAATCGCTCAAGGTTCTCCCCACACAAAATGAGAGCCCAAGCAATCGCTCAAGGTTCTCCCCATATTAGCTGGTTCTATATTTGAACCCCAAATTCTCTCAAGATTATTAAAATTATTGTGTCTCTATTATCCATAATTGTTGCCATCCATTGAACAAACTTGGTATCTCATGGTGACAACAATCTAATAATCATTAAACTGAGTGATCATTTTTATAATAATTAATTGAGAAAAGAACATCAAAAACTTATCAAAGGCTTGAAGAACAACTTAATTTTGCTTGCTCTGAATCAATGGCTTCATGCAACTGCTCATAATAATATTTTCTAGGAAGCTAACCCGAATTGTTAATAAGAAATTCAAAACCCTAATTTAATTAAAAATATATATTATAATGTGAATTGAAATCGAACTAAAAAGATTAGATCAAGAAGAGAAAATTTACATTATCGAAATGTTAAATTGTTAAGAAAATTTGTATAATAGTGCATTTGATCCTTATTAATTACATATTCAGTCAATTCAATCCCAAATCAAATTAATTTAATAGATTTAATAATAATTTATCGATTCAGACCACATCCTCTTTCTTGACCCACCCATCTTCCTCATTTGTTTAATTGTCTTTCCCTAAAAATCAAAACTTAAAAATCAAAACCTCTTCCCAAAAGGTAAAATCACAAAATTTTAATCATATCATTATCATCCCCATAACCATGATAGATATTCATATTTAATTAGAGGTTTCATGGATATTTTCAAGGCCTAAGCAAGACTCAAAAATAAGCCCTTGTAGAACGAAATTACATTATATTACTTTGGACAAATTATTTAATGTTATATTAATAAACTATAGAAAAATGATTAAATTTTGTCAATTTTCATTGTTTTGTTAAGAAAACACCTGAAATTATCGTATTTGAGATTGTATTTGAGAATAGGTTATAATATGCTTCAAGTCTCTTGTACTCTTTGCACGTTCAGAACGTTGTTTTTATACTTCTATTTTCATGAATTTAGTCTATCTATATTCCGGATTCAAAAATTCAACTGTTGAAAAATATTAAAGTTTTACTATTAAATTTAGGTTCATTAAAAACACCATTTTTTAGTTACATAGATTCCATGTTAATGTTTTATTTATTTCAAAAATATCACTCCAATAAATTTAACAGAAAGCTTTTTATGCTGTTAATAATTGGCCTTTGATTTTTACATTTGAAAAATAAAAGGACTAAATTCAAAGAAATAAAATTAGAGTGACTACATTCCAAATGTATAAAGAGTAAATGGACTTGAAGCATACTTTAACCTTAAAATAATATTTGATGTAACGACGATTGATATTAGGGCCCGAATACTTTCATGAAGAGTCGCTCCTAATTTCCCTGTAAAATAATATTTGAGCCAATCATGCATGTCATGTGATGATAAAGAACACAACTTTAATATGGGTTTACAAAATAGATAATGGGTAACCCTTCCCCTTAAAAATCATATATTAATAATATTTAAATATCGATAAATGATGTGTAATTCGTCGTAGAGGCCATAAAATTGTAGGGTGATTTTATTTTGACCAATGAAAAAAATAGCTTATCAAGCTGATCACTGAACTTTTACTTTGGTTTCACTCAAGCCACCGAATGTTTAATTGTTAACGGAATTGCTAACACGATAGTTAAGCAAATTTGTATAATAATGCATATGATCCTTATTAATAATATATTCAATCAATTCAATCTTAAGCCAAATTAATTTAATAGTTTTAATAATAATTTATCAATTTGGACGACATCCTCTTTCTTGACCAACCCATCTTCCTTTTTTTATTTGTCTTTCCCTAAAAACAAAAACTTAAAAAACAAAACCTCTTCCCAAAAAAAACATAAAAAATTAATCATATTGTTATCATCTCCATCACCGTAGTAGGTATCCATGTAACACCCTAATCTCGAAGATTCTAGTGTCACACAGAATCACCAAAGTGACTAACCTTTTTTTAACCATTTACTTGACATTTAAAATCATTTACACGAGTATCAAAACATAATAATTTACAAAAGCGGAGCTACTTATTTAAAATCAAATACATAAATAAAATATTACAACTTGACCCAAATACCCATTTTAACCTCTACATGTCCACTAAGTCATCATCAATGTACTCTGGTACTCCGTTGAGACTCCTCTGATGATATTAGTGTCCTATCGCAACCCATCAAACATGTAACTTGTGGATGTAAACATTTGAAAGGTTGAGCTAACAAGCTCAGTGAGTACACATCTACTCTACTATATTTATTGATCAAGTTCACAAACATAAGCATTTGGATCGAATGTAAGCATAAAGGCATTGAACATAACATAAGTCTTCCCTAACTAATTGTTAAGGCTAAAGTATTTCCTCTAGCCTAAGGAGTATCATAAGTTATATCATTCTCATTATGAATAGTATGGTCATTAACATTCATTTTTACTCGATCCAAGAGTATTTGACACGTGCCGTTTTCACGACAAATAATTCCTTAATCCCAAAAGAAATATAAAGAAATATAGAAAGTGGAAAGTAAGGGTCGATCCCACATAGACTCTGCAGTTTCTGATTCAATTATCTTATTGTTTTTGAACGGTAGAGTTTGGATAGGGATAAAATTTAAGGTAAAAAAATAAATAAGAATATAAAAACAAAAGATGAGATAAGAATAAGATAAATAGAGGGTTTGAGATAATTAAAATTGTTTGAAGATAAGATAAAGACAAAGTAGAAAAATAATAATAAATAGAGTAAAATAATAATTGGAGTTTAAAAAGAAGACTTATTGTAAAAAGTAGCCACAGGCTTTCAACTTTGACTCAGTTTCCTCGGATCATCGAAATAAATCTTTACTTCAGGATTCATGTCGGTCACTGTCTACAAGGACAATCCTTGTGACTATGCTTTGTATACCGAATACCCAAGTGCAATCTTTAATATCAGTTTGTGAATTGATCTAAGCAACAACAATGTTGTAGATCTAAAAACGTTCAGGTTCGAAAAGATGTCGACTTGAATTATGTTGTTTCAACAATAATCGATTCCGATCTCAGTTTCCTCTTAGCAAACAATTTTGCTATGTGTGTACCCAGGAAGTCGAATGTGCTTCAATAAGTCGATCCTTCCTTCCACGTTAACCATAACAACACCCAGACAACTCAACTTTTTGGTTTTGAAAATTGTTTTGATTTGAAAATAAGCCCAGAAAATTGAGAGAGATATCTGAAGCGATTTAAGTGCCTTACAATTCTCACGTTTGGAATTGAGTCATCGCTTTAGCGTTCAGCTTAAAAGAAAATTAGCTAATCATGACCAAAGTCATACTTAGCACCTTTGAAAATAAAAATAAAACAAAGAATAACTTTGAAAAAGAAAAGAAAAACTTTTATTAAAAACTAGAGAAAGAAGAAGAATGATTTCTGAATGTTTTCTGAATGAGGAGATTTGTTTTTAGGCATACCTTGAGACGGTATTTATAGCCTTCAAAATCCTAAAAACAAGGAAAAGATCATTCCTAAAGTAAAGAGATAAGTCCTAATGAAAATACTTAAAACTATTTAAACTAAAACCCTAAATCAAAGATAGGGTAAAATATAATATTTAAACTAATATCCAAAAACATGAGTTTAACTCAAATTCGTATTACAGAAACGTGCGGCTGATCCATTCGTTCTTCTAGAAGCACTGATTGGACCTTATAGAAGGTGCTGACTCATCACCTCGTCAGATACATTATGCCTAAAGTCATGCCCACTAATCCAGCTTTGATTCCGAAAATAAAAAAAAACTACAGAATTCTGC